TTGCCAATAAATGAACAGCAGAAAGTCTTATATAGGCAAAAAGGCGAAAAAGGAAAAATTAGCTTCTTTGTGGCTTTTGACTGATTCAATTCATATTTCAAACTCGAGTATCGAACAGCTTAACACAAAGCCAAATAGGCACAAGAGACTGTCATGTATACCCATAAACGATTCCGCCACACTCACTTAAATACACTACACAAATAAATAGTGAACGAAAAAAAGAACCAATTTCACTCAAAGGTCCTTGTGAGACGATTATGCCAAAATTTTGTTACATTATTTTGACAAATAATTTTCCACTTCATTTGCTCTTTGTACTGCCACATTTGGCACCAACGAAAAGTTTACCTCAAATGGAAACACCAATCCATTTTTATCAGCCATTCCAACCAAGGACTGACTATAATATTTTCGAAGATTTTTTACCAATTTTTCTTTTGTATTTATGGTACGAATATTTTGCGTTCATTTCGACAGCAGTGGTCTTCTGCTCCTTTGGCGAAAGGTGAAAAGTGCTACTGCCTGCTGTGCAAGCTCTACCGGCTCCTCCTCTACGCTTACTTGTGACTCGAAATATCTGCAAATATGCACAAACGTACCGATCTATAAAAATAAATTTTTGGGTTTTATGCCATGCCAACCAGAAATATTTGTGGTTTTTGCGTTCAATTTAAAAATTCCTACTCCTTTACGCTATTTTATGTTTTTTATCTGTAATTTTTTATTTTCTTGTCGGTTAGACACAGGAACACATTCGCTGCAAATTCATTATTTTGGTCAGTACGTTCCGTTGATATATGAATAGTTTTAAAATCGACATGGGTATTTGCACCTGGCAGTCGCCGCTTGATTAGTCTTTTCCGTTTATTTTTGGGACAAAAGTATTTTTTTTTCACTTAATTTTGTAGTGGTTTATGTGGAGTTCCTTTTTTCAATATTTTACTAGATTGAAAAACACAAAAAATGTACAATAAAAACGCAATCACGTTTGATGAGTCCTCGTACGTTAAGGAAGTATTTAACTTCAATGGATTAATCTTATGAATGGAACTTAAAACAATTAGTAGTAGGACTACGAAAAGTTTTGCTTGCGGTTTGTAAAACTTTGCAAAAGTTATTTTGATAGGACTAAAATACAATATAATGTCTACATCGCTAATTACATCGCTATTTGTTTAATTGTGGTACATTTAACAACTCATTGAATTCCTTGAAAAGGTGCTTTCATGGAACATAAACTAATAAATTATTGCACTGAATCTAAAGCAGTAATACATAGTTTTCTTCAGGGTAACATAACTCTACAGCAATGATAGATTCCCAAGCTCTCAGGCTATAAAGACAAATCTAAATCTAAAACGGTAAAAAATTAATATAATCTTAATCTTTTTATTTACCACTGAAATTAAATATTGAGTTTTAATACCCAAAAATATAGCAAAAGGAGGGTTCTCGAGTAAAAAGTATTTACAGAGTGATCAAATCATTACTATATAATTTAAGCATCGTACCGACCACGTATTTTAGATACCCACCAAAACTGTCATTTTTGTTTAGCATTATTTAAGAAGTAACAATTAAAGGGTTTATAGTTGCACAGCATATGGAAATTATTAATATATATTATTAAAGTAAAGAATTTCGTGCTCAATAGAATTCATATTAAATATTAATAACTGTGAAGTTTAGAATTTAACCTATCGAAAGCATAAAGTCATTTAAATTCTGACTGAAAATGAAAAACAATAATTTAAATTTTTTTTTCAAGAACTTGGCCATTATCTTTTTGGTCAACTTAACATTCTTCATCTTTTTCGCAGCGCGCTCACTTTTTTTTTGTTTTAATTACTTCTTCATCTGATGGGTATAGTAATCAATTTATATTTTATTTGTTGCCTTAAATTAACACAAAAATATGTTAACACGGTCACGCTTATGCTCTATAATATCAAACACTGTATCAGTTTTATTGATCGTTTTTAACTTCAATATATATGCATACTCTCACTCTTCAATCAGTCGATATGATATGACGGACTATAAAGAATTTAACTTTTTAAAAAAAAATGTATCGACATACTATAAGAACCCTCTTTCTGATTTTCTACCAATTTATTGACTTGCTTTTGTAATTCGTTATTTATCGATTTGAATTCTATAGCCTATACGGTGGTGTAGTCATTGTTCTTTTATAATTATATACACAAGTATTATTATATACACAAGTACTTCTCTGATGTCTCTAGTCTAGTCTAAGTCGGCAACACTACTTATATATCTCCTTTCCATATGCACTTCTTTCTATTTACTCATAAACCTTACTCAAAGAAAACAGTGAGGATTCTATTAATAGCAGAAAATTATGATTTAAAACTTGAATAACTCCTACTATATATTGGGTAAGTTGGATTAATACAATAACTCTAAATACATACAATAAAGCCATACAATAGCTCTCAAGATTTCAGTATTATATTTCCTTATATTTATAATAATAATTATGGTGGAACAACAACATAACAATATTGGAAAAATAATGCATATTAATATCCTACGAACTCTAAAAATAGCTAATGTAGAAACACCATATTACAAATACAACCCGGAACTTGTGATAAGTGCTACTGAAATCACAATATACTGGGACCGGTCCATTCCTATAAATACAATACAAAAAACACAAATACCCAACAGACCTGATATGGTCATAATAAATAAATAGAATAAAACAGCACACATAATAGATTCTGCAGTTCCCCTTAATAACAACATTCAAGATACATACAACAATAACATAAGGAAATACCAACAAGTAGTACAATATATTAAAAATTCACAAGACATAGATGCAGTAAAAATACTACCACAGTTCCACAGGGCTACTCCCGAAAACAACAATAATTTCACATGCACATATAAATCTAAAACCATTAAACATAACCCAAATGCTGAAAGCGGTCTTGTTGAGCACGGCGAACTTAATGAGGGAAATAATCGGCTAAGGGTGTAAAACTTGAATCCTTCGGTCAATGACCCGGAATACGTTAATACCAGTTAGTAATTCAATAATAAAAATAATATTATTATAACGGCAGAATGTATGAAGTAACTCTTCTATATATGGTAATATCGTATAATATCGCATCTATATATGGTAATACCAGTAAGTAGTCATCCTTATAACATATTATTGTAGCAATAATAATAATATTTATACATACTAGCAGAATATAGAGAGTGACTCTTCTATATATACTTATTTCCATTTTAAGGGGTAGGTATTTCATCACATTTAGTACGCTATGCTAAAATTCATAAATATAAAATATTGTATTATTATATATATATATTGCTTAAATATTTTTTACTGGACAAGTTAGATAATTACTCGTAATATTTTAGAACTCTCTTAGCTCATAAGGTTTTTCAAATGTCTTCTACAATTTGTTAAAAACATTAAAATACAAGACTGTACTCACTTGGAAAAATATTTCTAGTGCATTTATTTTCTTAATTGCACATATTTTTTAAAGGAAAAATAAAAAAAAATTAAATAAATAAAAAAAAAGAATGGAAAAATGTGTGAAAAATGAAAAATTTTACTTTACAATTTTTTCATTTTCGTATGTCCCAGAACTCGACGGCAGTTCACGTTTTCAGTCCGTGGATTAAACTGTACAGAAATGGAAACGACAATGGGAGCAGTGCTAAATGCTGGGAGCATGAAAAATTAATGATAAACTGCACATAAAATACGAGTAGAAACACATGAAAGCCTGAATAAAATAAACCAATTGCAAAAATAATAAAATAAAAATCAGTGCTGGCATTGTTGTTAAACATCGCTTCAGATGATGTGAACAAACAATTGAACGAGATCTGCATATATAAATATGGTATTTCTGTCATAAAATTAACTTCTATGCAATATTGAAGATACTCATAATAATTTTTTTAATTTTATTCACCCCTCGTCAAGTACAGCGTTTTTTGAAAACAATTATTATTGTGTTTTTTACAGCTATTCTAAATGGAAATCACTAGATCCTCTTTGACCCTGTCCAATTTAAACTGAGGACCCGCGTGTTGGCACACAAAGCCAACGTGCACTCCATTTGCGTTATTCGAATTTAGAGTTTCGCCAATTTATGTTGTTTATTCGCAAACAGTAATAGTACCTGCTGTGGTATTATTGCAATAAATGCATAAACTAAAGCTACATAAGTTAACTATTATAAAGTGCTGATATTTCAAACCTTAACACTATTGTGAAGAAAATACTAACTTAATGGATTACACTGTGCGGCACTAAATTCTCTTTTCGAATTTTTATATGATGTTAAGTTAGTTGGAGGTTGCTCAGCTCAAATTTACAACCCGTGTCTCTGACAATAAAGCCTATTCTTTAAAAATTGTGATTTTTAATGGTTAATAAAAAAAAAATTTATTTCAAGAGATACAAAAAATGTGTATTCTGTGAATTTATCAAGAATAAATAAATAAATATTTTTGTATAAGACATCTTTTTCCAAACTTCTGTTTTTCTTATCAAAAACTGAGATTTTGCAAATATTTTAAATACGATTTTTTTCTAAAGATTGATTTAAAAAAAAATCCTTTTTTAAGAGAGAATGAATGGAATTTAAGGTAGAATGGCTAAAACAATAATTTTTATTTATTCATTCTTAGCAAGTTTACTGCAAATACGAAATTCGTATCTCTGAAATAGAAAAAATTTTTTAACCCTTTTGAACCTCAATTTTTGAACTTAAAACCGTTATTGACAGAAACCCAAATCATAATGATCAAAATCATATTCGAAATGATTCAAAACAGATCAAAATGATCAAAATTTCTTGAAAACTCAAAGAAGAGGAAAGAACTTCATTTCTGTGGCGAAACGTTATTGTTATTTAATATTTAATTTAATAATTTTTATAATTGTCTAAAATTTGATTTTTATATATTTATTTTATATCCTTTTCTCTTATTTGCAGCCACTGAGATTCGTTGCCAGGAGAAATCTCGCGGCGGTTTAAGTTATGAAGTGATTTTAGCTGAGCCAGCACCAAATGTTGCTGTACCAAAGCGTCCAGTTACACCTGGTAAAAATGTCTCAGCTGAAGAGATCGAGCAAAAATTGAAGGCTGCCGAAGAGAGACGTATTGTAAGTAACAACTTAAAAAATGATTAAAATCCTATAAGTCACTTCATAATATATTATAAGAAGTTATGTACTTTACTCAACATTGTAGTTGTTATTCGGGCATTATTTTTAATCCACTCCTAACATCGTTGTGGTTTAATTAATTACTTAATAAGCTTTAATAGCTACCAGTGACTTCTACGTTTCCCGCACTGACGACAGTTAGAAAATGTAACCTACAGCCAGGTACCCAGTACTTCATACTTTCATCTTAAAGAAAGATGAAAGTATGAAGTACTAGGTACCGCGGTTTTTCTTATATGTTACCATTTCGTACGTTTGTTTAGCTTGTATGTTCTTATATTCTCACAACTAGCCAACATAGCCACTGGATCCGTATACAGATCGCTTGACTATGTATATCAATGTCGTGTTACAGTTCATACAACTCATCATATCATTCTGAAAAATATTTACCAATAGAGTAGATAGAACTGAATTTTATTTAAAAAACTCTTAGGACGTGATATTAATTAATCATGCCTTTATGCCTTAAATTAAAACGGACTTGTATGTAGTTATTTTTGTTTATCGGAAGAAAACTCAATATCTCCTGTTGGCAAAATTTTTTATTAGCTTGTTATCGAGGTTTATGTTATTGCTGATGTTAATGCTGGCAAGGCATTTTACAACTTTGAAACTATGATTAATATGTTACATGCTGGAAGGAAATATTTGACAATAAAAAATAAATCAGTTTATCCTCGTTCATCGCAAAGCCCACCCATTTAGCTTTTTTCTTTGGGACATCGTACGCAACGCAATTCGTACGGTTGTTATACCTAATGATATCAATATCACCGATATAAGCTAAAAGTATCACACTTTTGTGACCCAAATGGCTAATCCGATATGTTCTATAGTCAGCATCTATAATCCTGTATTTTGTTATTTATGTTGTTCCTGTTCTAAATCTGAAAAGTAGACACATGAAAGAAAGTTAAGCATACACATAGTGAAGTGAATGGTAGAAGGTAATATGGTAGAAGGGATAGGTGAAATATTCAATTTAACTTAGATTCTTGCCACCTCAATTGAATGGAGCCATAAATCATTAAGTACCAATTTTATACTAGCCGCTATAGTTTGTAGTATCTGCTTAAGCACTTTTTTCACGTCAGTGGGATGGACCCTTCAATTAATCGGGCTTAATTATATAGCTTTCTGGTAAATTTGTAGTACCTGCTTTGTGACTTTGTTCACCTCAACGAGATGGAGCCTTATATCAATAAGGCTTAAGTTTATCCTATCTGGTTAGTTTGTAGTATTTGCTTTCGGTAGTATATGTCATTATAGAACATGGACTTATTTTATGGACATATATAGTACATAAAAATGTGTATTATATATATCTCTAAGAAATCTAGTTATTCCGGTGATTTGATTTGTAAGCTTCTTTAAGAACATCTTTGATATAAATTATTATTAGTAATGTGCTTTAATATAAATATCTTATTATTTTATAATAAATATATTATTATTAAATATTATATATAATTATTAATATATATATTATTATATATTTATATATATATATATATATATATGTTATGTATATAATATAATATATATTATTATTAATATATTATTATTATTCTAAATATTATTAAATAAGTATATTTTTATTTTATTTTTATATTTTAATTTTTTTTTGTATTAGATAAAGATTTTATATAATTAATTTTTTAATAAAATAATTATAGTCATTGGAGCAAAAGAAAATGGCAGATTTGACCAATAAGTTGGCTAAGATTGAAGAAGCTACACGTAAAAAGGATGAAATCGCCAATGAATTCATCAATCAAACTAAGGAACAATTGGAATCTAAAATGGAACATCATGTTGAGAAGCGTGAAGCTATTATTAGTGACTTGAAGGAAAAATTGAAGGTAATTTAATATAAGAAGAAAGTGTTTTATTATTTTATTATTCTGCGAATAAATAATATTTGTTTATTTTTCTATAAAAATCCAACAACAACAGATTCATTCACAAGAAATTGAAAAAACTCGTGAACAATTGGAGCAGCAAAAGATTTCTGAAAAGGTGGCAATCGAGGAGAAATTGAAAAGCGCTCAGTCATTGCGTGATGATTATATCAAAAAGATGTTGGAACGTCTTAAGGAGCATGTAAGCACAATAACAATGTTATGATGAGAAAGCAAAATAATATTATGAAAATATTTTACGAGTAACATGAATTGTTATGGTTTTGTATAGTATCTACTTTAATGTCTTTATTCTTTATTTTTTTCTAACGACTAATAAAATTAAACCTCACATTTATGCACCATTAACCTCATATTTTTATAGTAGAATATGTAAACGTTGATTTTATGGGGAAATGAACAACAATTTTAGCAGCACAGCTGTAAAATTATATTTAATTAAATAAACCAATATTTTATTTATTTGAAAACTTGACAGCAGTAAAGGAAATCCTTTAATTAAATTTTTCGTTATGATTTTCAAAATTCATTAGGTTATATTCGAAAAGATTATTTATATGAAGTAACTATGTTTCACTATGTTTCATTGTCAAAAGCATAAAAGTAAATTTCTAACTACGAACCTGATATAGGGTATAGATATAGGGTTTATTGGAAGAAAAGGTTTTTTCTTTTACACACAAAGAAAAAATGTAATAGCAGTATATCGCAGAATTTTGGTGACCACTCTAAATCAACATTTTTGAAGATAAATTCATGATGACTATGTACGGCATTATGCAACATCTTGTATGAAACCACATATAGACCAATTCAAAATCATTTAATTTATGCCACAAAAAATCAGTTATACTGTTTCTGCGGAATATACTCGTAAACCATGAACTATGGTACACCAAACTGTGTCTTCATACTTTGTGAATTTCTTCAATTGAAATGCAGGGATGTTTCTTATTTATTAAGACTTTATATCCTTACCTAGTCATAAATAGGTATTATTACTAAAGATGATTTTTCCATGTAGTAATGGAACTGTTTCAATTTTCTCGATAGCCCAATTCTGCAAACTTTCTATAAATGCAATCGTCATTTATTTGAACTTCATAGGTCAACTGATTTTTACACGCATTGAAATGCAATAATTAATTGGAACGATAAGTTCCATTAAACCATAGAAAACTCCAAGTTTTTGTGAATGACATACAATTTATTGCTTTCAATTTTAGGCCAGACTTGGGTACGTTAACTCCATCTACATTTTTAGCGGGTTTTTAACGTTTATAACGGTTTTGACAAACATTGCCATTTCACCTGAATTCTTGAATTACTTAATAACTCTGTATGTCAATTATGTTGGCCACAAATTTCACCATATCCTCATATTAAAACCCGTGCAGTTTTCTTTTTTCTTTATAAAAAATTTAATTTGCAAACAATACTTAAAACAAATATTAATTTTAGAAAGAAGGTACAATATTATATTTTATAGTAATTATTTGATCACCTTGTATATGTTGAGAAAGTATTTTGAATATTTTTTGACCACTTTACTACAAATTTTTCAAATTTTAGGACTCTCAATAATGTGATATTCTGTACAAATTCTGTGTAATAATTAGACTATTTCAAAATAATAATCAACATAGTCATGCCCCGTGTAGATGACAATCACATTTTAAGGCAACCACAAACATTGAGCTGATTCATATCGGGTGTTATTTTAAATAAAAATTATCAAATAAAACATTAAAACTAATAAACTGATCTAACTTTAGTTTTATAAATTTATCATTTTATATATATATATATTTTTGAAAAAAGGAATTATTTTTCGCTTATATTCTAATAAGCTTAAAGTATCTGTTCAGTTTTTAATTTTAATTAATTGCATCCCTGAATCAACGTTTAACATGTAAAACTTATTATTATTTTCCTACTAGAGTTCATGAATCATACAATTTTTTTCTTTAAATTTTAATCATTTCAAAGCTTATTTCTTTTTCAAATCTTAATTAAGTTTGAATATTGTATTTATATTTTGTTATATATATTTTTTAATAGAACAAATCGAGCTGATAAGCACAACACGCTGCACAAGCCCTCTTAGTATTAAACTTAAAAATTTAGAACACTTTAATCTTATTTTAATCTCGAAGAAATTTTATGAACAATATATCTAAAAAAATCTGATCTACGTTTATATAACCCGTCTATATTACTAACTTAACACTTTCTAATAAATTTGTATGATCACCAATGGTAATGCATTTAACTAAGTACTAACCCCTAATATAATCTTACTAAACTCAATTGCAAATGCCTGACTAAAAACCCGTAAAAAATTAATTTTATAGTAAACAGAAAATCATTAAAAAACCACATCACATATTTTTTTTTAATTATCAATTTAAATTAATTTTTTTTAGAACACAAACAAAATTGCCGAAATCAAAAATCAAATCGATCAATTGGAATCACAGAAAATCGAGGAGAAGACCCGCATTATAGAAAATAAATTATACACCGCTGAGCAAAATCGTGAAAAGGAGTTAAAAAAGAAAATTGAAAAAGTTCAACAACTTGTACGTTTCATATATCTATATCACTCTCTTTGTCTCTCTCTCTCTATCTCTATGTCTTTCTTTTTTAATCTATTTTTTTATGTTTTATAAATACAAAGTTAAAAATTTTTTTTGAACTTTTATTAAAGGTGTGTAAAAATCGCAAATGCTCTTAAATATTTTTTATTTTATTTATGTTATGCCTTAAAACTAATATAACCCCACTTAACTCATTTCTCTCGAATATTTTTTTTTATTTTTGCAGACTACTTAATGTGGTTTTTACTCATTTTGTTATCATATCATTAAGTAAATGTCGTTTTTCAAACCATTTATGATACATTATTTTTAAGCATGTAAATAAAAATATTATGTACCTGTATGTATATAACATACTAAGCTTACCTATAATGGGTTTGCTAGAATACGAAATTAAAATCTATAACGTGTGTATAAGGTATTAAGCTTATCATAATAGGTCTGCTATGTGGTACAATATTATAATCTATTACGTATAATATCTAACAAACTAAGCTCACCTATAATAGTTCTGCTAGGGTACGAAATCAAAATATACTTCATTGTGTTAGATTATCATAACCTGGAGATTAGTTAGCTATACATAACCACATTACCTGAATCAGGCATATTGTTTTATATATTAATTGAGAAAAAAATTAATGAACCTTAAAATTTCGCATATACTTATAGATTTATATAAATAAATATTTTTTACTTCGTAAGATTTTGACTTACTAAAGCCACTATTTACTCTATTTATAACATAGCTTTACCTACTTCCGTTAAATATGTTGCACGTGTACCTATAAAAAATTTGTTTAGTTCAAAACTATAAGTTGTAACAAATTCCTGTCCTCTTCTGGCAGAATTTGAATATATATAATAATAAGTATAAATAAATTTGGAATTATAAGTTGATCATAAAAATGTCTTCTGAAGTTGTTCAGTAGTGGTTCTATACTATGAACTATTGGTGGGGTTCGCCAATATAATTATTTGCAAAGCCAAGTATGTGGCAAACATTATTAAAATCAAAGAAATTGTTAGGTATAATAGGTCATATCAATGTCAACAATATTATATTATATATTATCAACAATATTATGATACACACATATATTTTATTCTTACCACTTTATACCTACTATTAATGTATTATACTGCTTCACTATGAACTGCAACTAAATCTTGTGTATTATTATGATCTCAAGCATCCAAATTATGTGTCACCCAAAAAAAATTCGGAACTTAAAAATTCACATTTTAAGTTCGTAGGTTCTGGCTCAAAATCTATGTGGTTCCGAACAGATTCACATCTATGATTATCACAACTCTGTTTTGTTACTGACTAAATAATGAATAAGTATTTGTGAACACAGACAAGGCCTGTAGCTAAACATTCACTTCGAAGGGTGCTTGCAGATTAATAACCGAATAATTATAAAAATAATATTCTAGATTTTATTTCACCGGATCAGTAGAATCCGCGAAGTTCAGTAAACTAAAATTAAAGTAAGTGCACTCAGCCTGTCGTGATATATTATATTTCGTGGTAATATATTTTTATTTTTCATGGTAAAGGGTCCTTAAATTGCCCTCTAACTACATGCCTAATACTAGTATTATATATTTTTTAATATCTTTTAAAAGATAAACTAGGAAAACTCGGAAAATTTGATACCAGATATAAGTACGGAATGTAGTCAGTATTTTATTGTAGAGCCTTGATTAATTCTTTGTTTATGTGTCTTAAGAAAAGTTCACAAATCGCTGTCATAAATAAATACGGAAGAAAGAAACGAAAGGAACATTTTTTTGATATAGTGAAGAAATATATATTATATATTATAATTATATATATATTATATATTATAATTATATATATATTATATATTATAATTATATATATATTATATATTATAATTATATATATATTATTTAAATTATGAATATGAAAATTCGTACTACATACATACATCACTAATTCGTAAGCGAATTGTTATTTATAAAATATTAAATAATAGGTCATTCAAATATTACATCACGCGAAAAAGCGTTAGAGAGGAGTTTGCTTTAATTATAACATAATAGGACAAAAGGTAAAGCAAAGTTTTAGATCGGTCCGTAATTAGTTAAAATGTATACATATATATTGTTTAGTATATAAGATTTTTTAAACAAGTTTGAAATCCATTCAAAAAGTAATTGTAAATTCAACTTATGTTACTTATATTTTAATACTCTAAAACAAAGACTTCAATCAAAACTCAATCTGCGTAATAAGTCCAAATACATATATATAAATTCTTCCCTTTTTCCCATTATAATTAAGTATTGTATATTTATGTAAACATAAAAATATTTAGCTAATCAATTTTAAATCTAATTTTTTTTAACAACCGTACAGATTATTACCAGAGAAAGAAATAAATTAAATATTTTTTATAGAACAAAAAACCAGGGTTACTGAGCGAAATTAACAGTCCAATGCAAAACTCAAGTTTACAAGAAAAAAATATATATAAAACAGTACTTTTTAATTAAAAATTAGGTTATCATATTAATGGTCTGTAGATACAGTAATCTTTCTGAAAAACAATTGTAGGAATCTGGACACATCGTAAATAGTTTTTATCATATAAATTTAACAAGTTCAACCTTATATTTTGTAGAATATAAATAATAATGTAGATAATAAATGTAGATAATAATGCATTAACATAAAAAATATGTATGTTATTCATATTGAGATTATTTCAATAATTTATGTTACATGTGTAATCGGGTCTTCTAAATACTCGGTACAAGTAATATTAATAACTATGCTATCTAACTATTAATCTGAAATAACAAATAATATGAAGCTTCTAACAATTTTAACACATTTTTATTCATTTATACATAAATATCTGAAACCTATATCGTTTTGAATTGAGATCAATTTGTTGTCTACTACTTATTACATAATTATTGCAGTTTAACCTATATGTGTACCACGACTTTAAAAAATCTTTTGTATGGCCTTCTATTTTAGTTAACCTAATTGTGGACTATTGTAAAATCGAACCATTGGTCCGGATTTAATTTTATCTAAAGCTTCAAGATCGCAAACCTCAGATATTTGATATATGTAGCTTAGCCACAACAGTACATGCGCTTTGCTGTTCTATGATCCTAATAGCCTACAGATTTTATTTAAATGGTGTTTGTGTTAACCATCATCTATCCTTAATATAGTGTAAATATAAAAATATGCAATGAAAATATTTAAAGAGTTATCGATCTGCCAGACGCTAGTTTTGGCAACGGATTTAACTATTACTTAAGTTCACAAGTTTCTTTATATCAATGAATTTAAATAGGCTTTAGCAAACAAAATATCAAAAATTATAACTTTATGTGTTTAAAACCTATTTTAAATTATTTATTTTAATGAATTTCAATATTCTTAGCAACATTTTTTACGGCGCCTTACCCTAATTCTGTAGATATTAAGTTGCAAACAACACAAACAAAATGTAGTCGCGTCATCTACCTACCTATTTGGTGTAAATTAATGTAAAAATTATATATACAAATTGTCACTAAATAGTGTGGGTAGTTTTTTTTGTAAGCTTACAATTATATTAGATATAGTGAAATAGAGGAATTGCCCAGAAAACTGAAATTTATTAAAATCCCTTGTCACAGCGCGAACCGGGAAATTAGATACTCCGCATTTTTTTTTTATGCTTGATTCTCATTCTTCAATTTGTCTATCAAAAAAATTGGTGCTTTCTATATATTTAATAAAAAGTAATGGACTTTATAACAAACTTGGCAAAAACAGAACCTCTATTATATTATTGTATAAAAATTTTATTTAAATAAATAAAATTAATTTGTATTACTTCAAGCATACATTTAGTAAAGATCCTGTTCCTAGAAGAGTTTCTCAAAGATTTACAATAACAAAAAAGAAAAGAAATTATATATTACAGAATTTTAGATTGAAACTAGTTTAGTTCATCTTTAAAACTTTCTAACTAATTTCGAGTTATTTAAAAAAAAAAACAATGACCTAAGGAGATGTCAGTTGTTGTTAGTACTATAATTAGGATTTATATAACAGACACCAGAAATGTAAGTGAAATATATTGGTTAGTAAAAGATGTGGGTTGTGTAAGTTGGTATAGAAATAAGAATTTAAGGTAAGTGTTAACTGACACTACCTGGATAGAATTAAAGGTGACAGGCCACTTCAATGGAATAGAGCCTTAGATTAATAGAACTACAAAAAGTAGGTGCATTTGAACAGGAAAACAGATGGAGATGTCATGCTAAATAAAGCTGCAATTGGTGCACTCATGGAGAATTGACTTATTCATGGGTGACAAGTAATTATTTAACACGTGGCTATATTCTGACCTTATTTCGTCAAGGATAGTTTTCCTGAATGCGAAAGGCATTTTTCCTCTTTTTCCATAGTCGGCTTACAGACTAATTAATCAATAGGAAACTCAACTAACTATTAGAAAATTAATAAAGTGCTGTTGTATATAGTAATATATGTAAATAAATATACTATATATTAATTGCAAATAGGATTTGTATATATGACATCAGTCAGCTTACCGACTAATTATTCAATAGGGAACTCAACTAACTATTCAAAAAAAAAAATAAAAAAATGCTGTTGTATATAGTAATATCTGTAAATAAATATACTATATATTAATTGCAAATATGATTTGTATATATGTATATCTATTATTTTTTTTATACCAACTTTTGTATATACCTACCTACTATATACATATATGTACTATATATATATATAATATATATATATATATATATATATATATATATATATAATATTTAAATGCCTATAATAAATTTTGGTTTTTTTTAAATAATTTGTTTTTTTTTAAATAATTTGTTTTTTTTTTAAATAATTTGTTTTTTTTTTTTTCTTTACCGTAGGAACGTCGCGCAGAATTGGTGCGTCAGAATAAAGCTGCCCAGCAGCCACTAACTGATGAGAATGTTGAACCAATTGCTTCATCTGGTTAAATTCCAACCACAAAAAACAATAAATGCAGCTATAAAAGCAACACAATATTAATATTAGTAAAGAAAAATTAAGAACAAAAAAATTAAATTAAAATTAAAATTAAAATAATGAAAAAACAACATAAAATTTGCAAAAATTTCAATACAAATACATAACAAACAGCAGCTTTTTTCAACAAAATATATATATATTAAAAAAATTGATAAGAAAAATATTTAATGTGAACAATTAAAAAAATAATAAAATTATTTTTTCTCCAAAAGGAAGAAAATTATTTGAATTTCTACACATTTTTCAAAAATTGTGTTAGGAAAAATAAAACATCATTAAGATGGAAAACATGATTGCAATGGTTTTCAAAAAAGAAGAAATCATTTTTAAATTTAACTTTGAAATAAAATTGAAACAAAAACCAAATTTATTCATTTCAAATTTATTAACAGAAATGTTCGCATTAAAAACAACAGCAAACAACAGAAAACTAAAAAAATTTTTATTCAAAATATATATTCGAAGAACGAAATCCAACATAAGCCCATATAAAAAAATAAATATATATAAATATTGTATTAATTATTATTATTATTATTATAATTATTATTTATAAATTCTTTATTATTATTACTTATTAAAATAAATAAAAATAAAAATTTATTGATGTACTAAGTATATAAAAAGTAAAATTTTGAAAAAAATAAAAATTGCAAATATAAAATAAAATCGATCATTTTTATCTTAAATATCTTTAAAAATCAAGTAAATTGTGTAACCGAATGTAACCAAACAAAACCATAAATACTAATAATGTGTCATGTTAAAAAAAACAACATTTATGAATATACGATTATATATAAATATATGTGTATTTATAAGAAACAAATTTCAAACAAAATATAATAGCTGAACAGGAACTCTATTAAAGCAGTAAAAGATATACTAAAATTAAATTTAAAAAATTAAAAATCTAATATATATTTAAAAAAATTTGCACACATATGCGGCCACAAACAGACAAAACAAAAAAATGAGAGCCATATACTTTGCATTTATATAGTTTCTATATAGCAATTGTTAGTACTTACAATATTACTGTAATGCCAAGGAAATGTCAATGGTGAAAACTGTATACACTAGCCAGAAGCGTGATTAAGGCTTTCATATCCCGAAATACTGGCATATATTGTGGTAATGATAACGCTGATTTCCTATACTGAAATTGTGTTATCAATGACCATAAAGCCTAAATATAACACTTTCAGTTGTTATATCAGGAGTTGCATTCATAATAAGAACTTTTTTACTCCATGCGAATCTATATGAATAAAAGTGCATTAGCAGAATTTAGGATATATATACATTGTTTTCAATAAATTAGCTAAACATCGGTCAATACCGATGACAATGCTAAAATCTGCACATATTAGTTATGATGCAACGCTAAGTGTTATATTTGTCTTAGATCACGTCTTAAATCACATTTAAAATTACATCTTATATCACGTCTTAAATCATGACTTAAGTCATGCCTTTAATGAAACCTTAAATCATGTTTTATATCATGCTTTAAGTCATGTCTTAAGTCACAGCTTAAGTCAAGTCTTAAGTCATGTTTTAAGTCATGTCTTAAGTTATGTGTTAAGTCACGCCTTAACGCACGTCTTAAGTCGCGTTTTAAATCACGTAAGCCATTGTGATAACCAATAATACACAATGTAGAAAAATTTATACTGAAAAGTTGAGGACCAACTAGAGTGGGTTTTAAATTTTCGAAATTATTGAGAATAGTTTTAATTTGCCTATGAAAAATATTTTCAGATTACTCTTTCAGAATAGAAATGGGGTAATTGTGAGTATATATTAAATCCAATAACTTAACATTTAATCAAATGAACTTTTCGTTCGCGCATACAAAGGTATTTTAAATATTATCAAATATACATTGTACATTATTAGTGATATTTGTAAACATCTATTGATTTAATTGGTCCACTTATGATGGATATATGGTCATGTCTGATGTCTGATAATAACTAACATATTTGTTCAGATAAACACTTCACTTGTTTAAAGATTTCTTGTCTGGACATAGAAATGTTCATTATCTTACCATTTTATTTAGATATTATATACGATTATTCCATATACAAATCAAATTATTTTATCTCAATTCTTACAATATTAATACCTACAGTAAAAATTATTAATTACAATTAAGTAATTATCTATCAACAATATTAATTGATTATCCTGCGACTCTATGCAATATCTAATTAAGAAGTTATGGTGATATGAAACAAAAATTATTAATTAAATATATGGAAAGGGTTTTATGAACTTAACGGAAAATTATGGTAGCGAGCATTGGATGTATATACCAACTACACAACAAATTTCCCTTAAGTTTAATCTCTTGAATGTGGGATATTTGCTCATTTTAATAATCTATTCTAAGGGAAAAGTCTCTCACTGTGTATGATTTTATTGACCTTTCGTATTAAAATGAACCAAGCGTTCACTGTAAAATATTTATATTTATTTCTTTTTTAAATTCCCAATTAATTACATGATAATTAATTTGATTTTATTAATTTGTTAAAGACCATAAAACCGTATATATTTTAAATTGCATAATATGATTTAATATTCAATTTAAATTTTAATATTATTGCTTTCTACTTGAAACATTATTTATGAACACGTTATATGTTATATTTCTTAAAAATAACATTTAATTTAATATTAATTAAAATTGCTTACGATAATATAACTAATAATATTACTAATTCACAGTTCAGAAACAAGTTTTATTCCGAGTACCTATTTATTATTATTAAATTGCTAAAGTATTCAAGATGAATACAAAAAAAAAAAATTTTTGAAATTTTCTTAAAGTGAAACAAATTTCTACTAAATAAATTAAACACATTTCGACACAAACATTAAATAAAAATTATTTATTTTTAATATTTAGGTTTATAATTTATTTTCGAGCAGTTAGAATGCATTCGAATGCGAAAATTTGAATCAAAAATACTTCAAAATATTCGAAAAAATTCGAATACAATTTTATTCGAATATCACTAGTACCTATAATCTTTGTATAATACTTTATAGTTATAATTAAATCCCTATGACTTCATATAACTTTATTTAAATATGTCAATTCAAAATTAATTGTAAAATGATATATCTTTTTTAATTAATTTAATCAATTTTTCAATTGTAGTCTATTTTTTAAGTAACGCATATTTATTGTTATAATTTTGCGTGTTTATAAATAATGTTTTCTTTTAAATAATATTCAAAAACTTAAATATTAAAAAACTTTTTTTTACCTATTACCTATTTCCAATATAAACTTAAAAAACCAATGGCCCGAGAAATATATATAAACTATTGATTGCTTAATTTTTCCGAAGCAACGCTTGCAATTGCTATATAAACCATTTTTGTTAGAGTAAAGAGTAAATTGAAAACAAAATTCATTTATATATACGTATATAAAAATATTATTCTACACAAAAAAAAAAATTAATTAAAAAAAACTAAGCGTCGAGTTTAAAATTATTTTTAAAATAACTTAAGTATTATCGTGTGTTTAATATATAACCAGAAAATAAAATATGCTTTTAAAAATAAATAACTACCTATATATTTGCTAATAAGCATATAAATATGTAAACGAAGAAAAATAAAATTAAAAGCCAAAAATGGTAAAATTATCTGGTTACATGTATAATTATTATTTTTATTATTATCAATTATCACTAATAATTTTAGCGTTAAGTTGAAAACATAATTAAAAAAATCATTTTAAAATACTTTTGTATAACGTTTTTTTTTATTAAATCATAAAATGCTTTAAAAAATAAATAAAAATTTTAAAAAATCTTATTTTGTTTTATTTTACCTTTAGCATTTAAAGCTAAAATATAAATGAAATTTATAGGTAATTTTTATATATATAATATATATAATCTGTTTTAAAAGCAAACAATTTAAATGTACATGATGAAATAAGGTCATTTGAACTTAGTAAATAAAAGTAACAAAAATATATATAAATTAATTTACAAATAAGCAAACAATATAAGAAAAAAAATCATATTTTGTCTATGCATAATTTTGAAATATATTAAATAATTAATTCAAGTAAATAATGATAATAATGTAAAGTAACTTTATGGACGTAAAACTATAAAAAATTATTTTAGTCAAAATTATATGCAATTTGAAAATGAGGACCTATGCTCTGCAATGAACTTCAATATGCTTACACTAGTACTTTTAATATAAGTTGAGATTGAAAGACAAACTTTATTTTTGAAGTTTTAAATATGATTTGCTTTTTTGAAAAGTAAAATAATAACATAATTATTTGACAATTATTTTATTAAAAATATCAAATAAATACAAACACATCACCCAACCTAATAAAGAACACTTATTTATATAATACTAAAAACAAATTCTTAACATTACTTTTCTATTTTTATTTTTATTTTATTTAATTATTTTTTAATTACATAAAAATATAAATACATAATTAAAATGCTTGTTAAATTTTATGTAGAAAAAATACATAATCGTAATAAACGTAATAATAAGAGTTTATTATTTTAATATAATCATTTAACCTGCCTACTACGCCTAATCTTTTCAATAAAAGCGCTTTACTATATAACACAAATAAATAAAAAAACAAAAAAAAAATTAACATAAACGAACCGTTCTCTTCTATCACTTTACTATTAAAGAAATTTAAAATAATTTATAAAAGAATATATTAAAATGCATATAGCAAATCAAGTAAATATATCAATTTGGGTCTTTGACTTGGAAATATTGAATCTGACGCGGCAAAAATTTGAATACGAAAAGGATTAGGGGATTCACTATTCCATTATGGAAACTACAAATTCTAATATTAATTTTTGTTCATTCAAAACACAGTACAACAACAACAACAACAACAACACTACCACTGCACTACAATAACAAACACTAGCAGAATTTGAAAAATATTTACTAAGATTTTTTTAAGTTTTTAATTATTCTAAAATTTTGAATAAATTAATAAACAGTATGTTTAATTTATGTATGCTAATAGTATATATATATCTATATATATATATACAAATATACATATATATATGTGTATGAACTCATATTA